TTTTAGCCGGGGCAGGGTTTGAACCCACCACCTCCGGCATATGGGGCCGGTACCCTACTTCTTTGAGCTTCAGGCGTCACTCCAAGTACACTACATTTGGAAGGTGGTCAAGAATAAAATCATTGGGCTTGGCGCCTGTGGCTCAATCGGCTAAGGCGCCAGCCACATACACCTAAGGTAGCGGGTTCGAATCCCCAGCCCGGGCCCGCCAAACAATGATGGCTGCAACCAAAAAATGGCCGGCGCTGTGGCGGGCGCCTGTAGTCCCAGCTACTTGGGAGGCTGAGGCAGGAGACTCACTTGAGCCCAGGAGTTGGAGGTTGCTGTGAGCTGTGAGGCCATGGCACTCTACCCGGGGGGATAGCTTGAGGCTCCATCTCAAATAAAATCATTGGCCAGGCACAATGGTTCATGCCTGTAATCCCAGCACTCTAGAAGGCTGAGGCAGGTGGACTGCCTGAGCTCACAGGTTTGAGACCAGCCTGACCAAGAGTGAGACCTCGTCTCTAAAAATAGCTGGGCATTGTGGCGGGCAGGGGCCTGTAGTCCCAGTTACTTGGGAGGCTGAGACAAGAGAATCACTTGAGCCCAAGAGTTTGAGGTTGCTGTGAGCCATGACACCACAGTACTCTACCGAAGGTGACAAAGTGAGACTCTATCTCAAAAAAAAAAAAAAAAGAATAAAATAATTTCACAAACTCCTTTCCTGAAGTCTTTCAATTGATTTCTTGCCTGTATCCTATCCTTCCCATTATTTAATACCTCTGACCATCAACAAGCTGGGAAGGCAAAATGTTAAAGTTTAGTAAGTGTAGGGTTACTACCTACCATGATTTACTAAATTATTAGATTTATAGGTATTTCCTATCTGGATATTAGATCAGTTTTATTAGCTCAAGCTTTTGCTTTATGTATCACATTGATGTCTCTAAACTATCAGGTTCACCTCACATAAGAAAGAACTAAGCCATAGAGGGAGAAAAACCACTCTCACCCAAAATACCACTGATAACAGATTCAAAGTGTAAAGAATTCCAAGAATTTTATGTAAAATAGAGCAAACTCACAGTAACTTATCTTTATTAGTGTGACAGATGATTATTTGATTCTACCCAAAGGGACACATTGGATTTCCTTATAACAAAGAGTTAACATAAATAGTTACGCGGACTCTCTTTTGTAAGAGAGTCCTTTGGAATGAGGAAGAAAATCAGGCTGTGGTTATGGATCCCACTCACTCAGTGAAAGGAGGAAGTGGCAACGTTCTATTTGCAGTTTATGATCCTAAGCAAGCACTTTCCCTCACCTCTTTCCAGTTTAACAATTTGGCTACCCAACCCCTTCACATTTAATCCAGCACCAGCAAACAACACGATCTATCAAAAAAGAATATACTTACTGTGCTTTGAACTTCTTTTGAAAGTAAGTTAATTAATGATATTTAATATTTTAAAAATTTCAGGGCAGGCTCGGCACTCGTAGCTCAGTGAGTAGGGTGCTTGGCCACATACAACAAAGCCGGCAGGTTGGAGCCTGGCCTGGGCCTGCTAAACAACAATGACAACTGTAACAACAAAAAAATATAGCCAGGTGGGCACCTATAATCCAGCTACTCAGGAAGCTGAGGCAAGATTGCTTAAGCCCAAGAGTTGGAGGTTGCTTTGAGCTGTGATATCACAGCACTCTACGGAGGGCAACACAGTGAGACTCTGTCTCAAAAAAATTCTTTTTCAAGGCACACCTATGATCTGCTCATGGCACACTGGTTGGAAATCAATAATCTATTGTAAGGCTGAATGACCCTTCCTTTCTCTCTAAAAGTTGAATTTTTATAAGAAAATGACAGAAGTCAGCTGTTTTAACTGCTAATGTTATCTACTGCAAAAATCCTATTGAAATAAATTTGAATAATTCAGTACAACCTTCCTCTCTACCGTGGTAGAGGCAAATGCCTTGCTCCATTCCACATATTTCTTCCTCCAAGAATTATTTCCTAATTAACCCTATGCTACTCAGATTACTTTTTTGTTCACATCTTCGTATGATTCAAGCACTATTTACTTGTATACTCGTTTTGCAAAGACCCATAAGTTTGAAGTGCTGGTGTTAACTCAACAAAAGTAGAAACTACTTAAGATACAAACAGTATGTTCTAATTCTTTCACAAAAAGTTAAGTATATACAAGTTGCTCCCAATACTTAGTCGATTTACCCTCTGGAAACATGAAACAAGTTCCAAAGATAATGTACTCATTCACAAAGTAATTCAGACACATCTTAATCATTTCATTCATTCGTTCATCAAATTCTGAGTACCAGCTGTGCAAGCTCTGTAATCATGTCCCTGATAAAAACTGCTCTGGACTCTTCACTCTCTACCAAACTTTTCTAACTTTCAAAACACAATTTCTCAGATATCCACACAACAGGTTCCCCCCAACATTCCTTGTGCCTTTGCCGACACTACTCCCTCAGCCAGGAGGCCTCTCTCTAAAGCACAATCAGCAGGCTCAGCGCCTATGGCTCAACCGGCTAAGGCGCCAGCCACATACACCTAAGGTGGCGGGTTCGAATCCCCAGCCCGGACCCGCCAAACAACGACGGCTGCAACCAAAAAATAGCCGGGCGCTGTGGCGGGCGCCTGTGGTCCCAGCTACTTGGGAGGCTGAGGCAGGAGACTCGCTTGAGCCCAGGAGTTGGAGGTTGCTGTGAGCTGTAATGCCACGGCACTCTACCCAGGGGGACAGCTTGAGGCTCTATCTCAAAAAAAAAAAAAAAAGAAATAAAGCACAATCAGCATTTCCCCCACCCGGAGCTCTACATGTTAATCATTAAGTTTCTGTGTGTCCAAGCTAAGAGAAGTCCCTGTAGATAGTGGCTTTAGTTTGAATATATAAATAAAACCGTAGCTCCCATCAGTCACAATTACACAAACTCAGTCTGATAGGGGATACAGGCCTGTGAACAGGTAACTGCAATACTGTACAACACGGTAAGTGTACAGTAAGCTGTAATTGAAGGATGCCCAAACTCAACACACTGTGGACGCACTCTGCACGGACACACGCAAGGGGAGAAGATGAATCAAATTTAAAACTGGTTCAGGCCTTCAATGAATTAGTGTGGCCTACGGGACCCAGCTTTGGTATTATTATTATTTTTTTAATGAAGTTAACTTGTAGGCCTTTTAGAGCAATGAGTAATAGGAGGGCAACTTGTGGTGCTAGAGCTGGGATGGGGTTGAGATGAGAGAGAAGTATGCCTGATCCTGAGCTCTCCCGGAGCCAGCCTTTTCAGTCCATATACTATATACCAAATGGTTTTGTCTCCCTAGTAGCCCACGAGGTCCTCACCTCTCTTTTGTTTCCGTGATGCACTCTTCCCACCACCTGACCACTCCCCACTCCCTGACGTTTCTTCTACAATCAGCGTTTACTGGCTCCTCTGTCAGTGGTGACCTTGCTGCTTCCACACTGCCTCCTCCCTCTAAGGCAGTGATTTTCTTTTTCCTTTCTTTCTTTTTTTTTTAGTGGTGAGATAGGACTTTTATTAGAAGTCAGAAAGGAATACAGAAGAAGTAAAAAGCACCAGAGCTTCTGGAAGGGGGAAAGAACCGAAGAACTCTCTCAGGAATCTCCACGTGGGCTCTTGTATCTAAGGCAGTGGTTTCAACTGAGTGCCACAGCACAATGGTGTGTCGGTGTGTCCTGAGAGGATCTTAGGTGTGCCATGGAAATTCTTAAAGATCATTAATTTAAATTATTTTCAAAGGAAGTTTAACTATATTCTTTTTACTCCTTTTAGATCAACATAATTTAAGTGTGCCACACAAGTTTAACTATAGGTTCAAGTGTGGCGTGAGATAAAAAAGGTTGAAAAACACTACTCTAAGGTACCACAAAAGTGAGAAGTATGACAGATAACAACAACAACAACAAAATCTAATGTATTAAGTCCATCTCTAATCTGCTACATTACCTGGCTGGAGGACAACTTCTTCATATTTCACATCCTAAGAACAAATAGGTTTGGCATTCTTTACCCTAATTTTATTTTATTTTATTTTATTTTTTTTGAGACAGAGCCTCAAGGTATCCCCCTGGGTAGAGTGCCATGGCATCACGCTCACAGCAACCTCCAACTCCTGGGCTCAAGCGAGTCTCCTGCCTCAGCCTCCCAAGTAGCTGGGACTACAGGCGCCCGCCACAACGCCTGGCCATTTTTTGGTTGCAGCCATCATTGTTGTTTGGCGGGCCGGGCCGGGAATTTGAACCCGCCACCTTAGGTGTATGTGGCTGGCGCCTTAGCCGCTTGAGCCACAGGTGCCGAGCCAATTTTATTTATTTATTGAGAATAGGTAATACATAGGTAATGTACAAAACTCCAGAGGGTCATAGGAGTATACAGAGGAAAGTACAGTGAAGTAAATAAGGTCCTCCTTCCCAATACCATCTCTGTTTACTATTTTACTAAAAACAAGACTGCTTTTTTCTATAAACAGAACAGGTTGGCCACATTCTGTTTTAGGGCTTAACGTGTCTGGGGAGAGGAGTTGATCTGTGAACCAGTCAACTACGTATATAATGCATCACTTCTAAAGAACACAATCTTTCAGAAAACTGTAAACACAACCTGGGATACAGCACGGCAGCATGAACAGGAAGAGCACGGCTCCTGACACTTCCCAGTCCTATGTTCACATACCAGCTCTGACACTACTACTAAGCATTTCAGAAAATATTACTTAACATGTGAATTTCAGCTTTCTAATCCATAAAATAGGGATAGTGTTGCCTACTTCATTAGATTCTTAGATTAAATTGAAAACGTGTTAAATGTTTTAATTTCTCCCATGCCTTTAACATTGTTTTTCAGCTTTCTCTGTGGAATGCTTTCATTTATTTGCATCTGGAATATTTTTACTTGAACATGTACCCAGATTTCTAAGGAAAAAATTGTGTGGGAAAATACTAAGATTGCTATAAAAAGCTTCCATTTACCGAATCGAAGATTCTGACAATTACCTGTTGTTCTTCTCTTTCTGTTGCATGGTGACACTTTTCAATTCTCCAGTGCCTCAAGAAATCTCGAAGATATCCAAAGAGGGTGAGTACACCATACCCCACGTATGTGAGCACAGCAACCAGCATTGGTGTTTCTTCAAAAGCTTCATTAAATGGCCTTTTATATAGTCCTCCATTTTGTGTAACATGATGGATCTAAAAGAGAAGTCAAAATGTTTATTTAACAACAACCAAAGCAAATAGACAACCTTCAGAATGGGAAAAGATATTTCTATATTATGAATCGGGCAAAAAGCTTGATAAATAGGATCTACAGAGAACTCAAATTAATCAACGAAGACCAAACAATCCCATGTATAAACTGGGCAAGCAAGAGACCTGAACAGAACCTTCTCTAAAGAAGACAGACGAATGGGCTCGGCGCCTATAGCTCAACTGGCTAAGGCGCCAGCCACGTACACCTAAGGTGGCGGGTTCGAATCCCCAGCCCGGACCCGCCAAACAACA